GAGTATACAGTGTGATAGGAGACTGAATAACACCACCACGGCTCTATCATGGGGCTGCTGTCTGCTCCTCTCTGACATGAAGTTCTCAAGATTGGAGTCATCAGTGCCACTTCAGAGACTAGATGCCATATTTATGACATGTCGAAATCATTTTCTCATATCTGATAGTTTCCTAAGTTTGCTCACTGTTGCCTTGAAATAAAAGAGAAAATTATTTTAATTTTTTTATTCATTTATTTATTGAGAGAGATCTCAAGTCAGGGAGGGGCAGAGAGAGGGAGAGAATCCCAAACAGGCTGTGTGGCCAGCACAGAGCTTGACACTGGGCTTGAACCCACAAGCCCACTGTGAGATCTCACCCACTGTGAGATCATGACCTGAACCAAAACCAAGAGTTAGACACTTAACCAATTGAGCCACCGTGGTACCCCAGTATTTTAAATGGACATTCTGACTTGTATGTCAAGAAAAAGGGAATAGAAATATAGCGGCCAATCTTCACAAATATAGGATGCAATGAGCATGTTCAGTTTTATCAGCTGAAACATAAGTTTGCAGGGGCGCCTGGGTGGCTCAGTCGGTTAAGCATCTGACTTTGGCCCAGATCATGATCTCAGTTCATGAGCTCAAGCCCCGCATCAGGCTCTGTGCTGACAGCTTAGAGCCTGGCGCCTGCTTCAGATTCTGTGTTTCCCTCTCTCTCTACTCCTCCCCACTCACTCTGTGTGTGTGTGTCTTTCTAAACAAACAAACATTAAAAAAAGAAACAGGAGCTTTGGTCCTTCAAGTGAACTTTATGAAGAAATTAAGGATGGCAGCAAGTTTGAGGTACATGTCACTTGCCTCCGGACACTGATTCCTTTGTTTTAACTCTAGAAAGTGAAATGAAAAAGACTGATGCTAAAATTTGGGACAGAAACAGCATAGAGAGTTTTTGATAGCCTAAACTTCACATGCTTGTCCTGGCACTCGGGATCTCCCTCATGCCAAGTCAGAGCCCTCCAAGGTTCCAGATCTTTCTTAGCATACAGGTACCAACAGGCTGGTAGATTCCTCTAACCTTCCTATGATCTGGTGGTGTGAGCAGAGCAGAGGTGCTTCTGTTTGTTGCTAGCCTCCTGTTTATCAGAAAGATCTCTAAATCATTTTCCATAAACTGTAAAACAAAATCCAAGGGGTAACTAATGTAGAAGGGAAAAAAGGTTTCTGGGTCTTTGTTTTGCTTGGTTTTGTTTTATACACAAGGACTTGAAGTTGATTTAAGATGTGGAGTTAAGAGATGTAGTTTGGAGAAGAGGTTTGAACAGTTCCTATGGATATGTTTCTGACCATCAATTGTGGGAATGTATTTCTTGAAATACACATTACATCGTTCAGCTAGGAGACCCTGAAAAAACAAGAGAGGCGAGGTTACCCTGGGTATGGGAAGCAGACCTTCCCTCTCACTGGCTGCCATGGTGGGCCGTGAGACTACCTGCATGTGAGCGACAGGACAATCTTGCAGTGACACTTTCCCTTGGAGAGAAAGGGGGTTTTGACTGCACTTTATACCAGTATCCAGGAGTGAACACTGAAAGAGGAAATGTTGCCTTCTTAATTTAAGAGAATTATTAAGTACTGGATTTGGAAAAACCTGGAGTTTATAGAACAGAATGGAATGAAATCCTAAACTCTTCATTGCGTATTTTGCCCCCTGAAATAACAGAACCCTGTGGAAACCATCTCTTGGCAACAGGAAGGTCAAAGGAAAAACAGTAAGCAACTCAGGGGTGAGCTATGATTCCTTTAAAGCAAAAGGGGGCAACCTTTACCAAATATCACTTTTGCCTGCGGCCTTTGCAGCAAATAGTGTTCCTGCCCCCCAGCTCTAGAACCATTTCATTTCGATAGGGACTTTATTGTCTTTTTACCAACTTATTACTTGAAATGGTAATATAGCCTGTGTTTGGTGTTTCAAAGCCTCGATCTATTTTTCTAGAGTTCAGTTTAAAAAAAAATAAGTAAAGTTTAGTTTTTCCTCCAAAAAAAATTCAAAACCAAAAAAAGGAATTCAAAACCAATGCAACTGTCATGAGTACTGAATGTGATGATTTATTTGAAGTACTTAGCAGGATGTGTAGTTAAACATCCAATAAAGGCTAGTTGTTAGTATTTGTACTATGCTCAGGGTATTAACTGGTCTCCTGGTTAAGAAATTAACTCCCCCATCAAGCAGAAGTCACTTATTCTCTTTGCATTAAAGGTATGAGAAAATATTTTCCTTTCCTCTTCAAAACCCTAGGGAAATTAACTCCTTTAGCTGGGTTATAGAAGTCTAGAGTCTCAAATACGAAGACTCCTTCTAGTAGAGATTTAAATTGTTAATTACCTCTATTGAAAAGCTTGTTAGTAATGTAAAATCCATTTATGCAAATACAATTCTTTTGCCAGGATGCTAGATGGAAAAATTGTCATATTATCATTATGTATTATAAATAGGCAAATCTATTTTACTAGCTATACAGTTTCCTTGAAGTGATTTTTAAGTATACTGAGGACAACTCTTTTTCCTTTCTAAAGACTCAGAAATATATAGCACTTAGGTTACTCGTATGGTGTATTATTTATGGTTAAATCTATGATAGGATTATCCTTTCATTGTTTGCATGTAAAACAATTTCCAGATACTATTGAATAGTATTCTTTTCTATTACAGTCATTTATTTTAGGCTATGAAATGTATTTTGTAAGGAACAAGATGGTGAAATAGGCTTTGAACACACCAAACTGTATTTTTAAATTCATAATTAAGTTATAATATAAAGTCCCTGGTATTAAGGCACAGAATGATTTAATGAGAAAAATCTGAGATTCCTAGCCTGGATTTGAATTTTAACTGAATTACTTAACTTCTGAGTAGCTTAAAGCAAATTCCTTAATCTTGTTTTGTCTTTGTTTTCTCATTCTTTTTTCCTGGGTCCACGCAAAGTTGAAAACAATAAACAAGGCTTTTAAAAGTAATTCAATTAATCAATTGTAGTGGACTCTGTATAACTTTGAGGGCTAAAGGATTAGCTTCTCAACACCTATTTCTCCTTTCTAACAGGGCCCAGATTTCATTCTCAGGAACTCTAGCCCATTGTATATGGTCTGGTGGGACTCTATTCAGATGCCCACCTTCCCCTAGACAAGGAACATAGCCACGTCCCAAGATGGACCATTCAAATACTCTCTCCCTGAGTGGGTGAAATAGAAATTGGAAGTTTACCATTTGATTTTTCCCCAAGTAGCAGGGTCCCGAACACATTTGTCATATAATAAGCCCCATGGTGTGCTTCCATCTCAAGAGGAGCCCTGGATGAACCTATGTCCAGCTTAGTTTCTCAGCTTCCCATAAATTACGTGAGCATACCAAAATCTCAACAGAGTCCTTCTTGCTTAGGTTAGCCAGAATTTTCTATTTCCATTGTTTACAACCAAAGAGCCCCCATGGATAGACCAGTCTAATTTTCTTGAATGTTTTCTCAGAGCAGGCACTAAGTAGGGCATTGGGAGGGCTACAGCACTTCATAAAGCACAGTGCCTGTTTCTAACTCACTGGGGAAACAGAAAGATCCATAAAAAGAAAGTACTGTATAAGACAATAGATGATAAGCACAAGATGAGTGGTAAAAAACAATCCTTGAGAAGGGGTGCTTTATTGTGGTAAAAAATATGCCTTCTGGGGCCAGATGTTGTACATCTGAGCCCCAAATCTGTCACTTTCTATCTGAGATGGGCACATTCCTCAAAGACTGCCCCTTCTCTCCTGTTACAGCTAATAAGAAAGCAGATTCTAAAACATTTTGTAACCTGTAAGGCACTGCACAAATATTATTTTCTAATGACCACTGTGAGCTAGGCATGGTCAGTAGTTTCATGAGGTGAGCCATCCTATATGAAAGCAAACATTCACTGCATGCCTAATACATACCAAGTACTGTACTAGATACAAAATTTGAATCTCATGGTAGTCCTACTTGGTAAGTATAATTATTCCCCTTTAAAATTTTTGAAAGCTAAGACCAAGGGATGTTTGGTGATTTGCCAAAGGTCATATAGCTAGTAATTGACAAATCCTGGATTTGAACTGTTCCTATCTGACTCCTAGTTCTCTGCCATTCCCACAAGATGCTACTTCCCTTATATAGTACTTTTAGGAAGAGTAGGATTCCAGGCAAGAAGAACTCTGTGAAGAAAATGATATATCTGTGCCTATCTGCTCTCATCTCCTACACATGTCAGTAGCGTCATCCTGATCACCTCTTCAAACTCTTCTCTCTCAGAGACAGGCAGAGAAGTGCATCATGTTAGACACAGGCCTTCTGACAAGAGCATCTGAAACAAGATGGAATCTAGATCTCCATCAGGAATAACAGTGGGACACAAAGTAGGTGGGCCTCCTGAGAGAGTGCTGTCCTTTACCCTAGCATGTAGATGAGAAGTGGGCTTAGCCATGCCACAATAGTTGCATGCTGTCAAGACTATGCGACTTTATTTTCTCTTCCCTCTAATAGAAAGACAGTAAAAGCTCTAAGATCAAGCACATTGTGGGAATATAAGATTTCTATTGGCAAAAGTCACCTGATTAGCTAAAAGTGAGATCTTTCAGCTCAGATACAGGGACACCACAAGAAGCAGTGGCAGCATCCAAGTAAAAGGATGTGAGGGAGAGTCCAGATGTCTTTGGATCCTGGCTGCCATATTTCCATGGGTTATCTTATGAAATTCAGGATCTGGCTTTTCCTAGAAAACTTAATGAAATGATACCCATATCTTGTCATGGCTAATCAGTATAAATCTCTTCTAGATGACTAGTTCACATCTAATAGAATCTTCTCAGTTTACGTTGATTCCAGTTACAGGTAGCACCATTACCTGGTTGTTAGAACACCTTGAATGGCCAACAATATAGAGACTGGGATACAAATCATCTTAACTGGCTTATCCTGCTTATTAATTACAGGTTTCTAAAATCAATTATTTGCCCTAGCATGGGAAAGAAAAAAAAAAGTCTCTTGACTTTCTGTCTGTCTTTGTGGTGGCCCAGATTGAGTTGGGGAATACATATGAAAGAGAAAAGAAAAAAGAAAAGAAGAGAAGAAGAAAAATATTTAATGGCACAAACTTTTCAATTAATGTGTTATGCTTATCATACAGCTGAAAACGGCAATCAGTCATTACTTAAATTCCATGAACAGGGTTGAACGGTTTAATGGATCCAATACGTCAAGGTTGTATTACTATAGAATTTAACATAAATGTTGTTCACTCATGAAAATACTCAGCAGTTCTGCAAAGCATAGATAACCAGCAGATTTATACCATGAGAAGTATTAGACCTCTAGGGAATGATCTAAGATTCCTTAAATCAATTGTCTTTTATTTGTTGAAATGAGACAACATCCATACATCTCAGTCCTTCTCTTCAGGTCCCTTGTTGTTACTATAAAAAGCAACAGTAGCTTAATGTTTAAATAATATATCAATCCTTATATGTATTACTTACATAGGAAAGATGATGAAACCTAATATTAGTCTTTTGATATAATTTATTTTAAATTTATAAATTTTATTTTGAAAGAGAGAAAGAGCATGCATGCACATGTAAGCACAAGAGAGGCTGAGGAAGAAGGAGGGTGGGGGGAGAGAGAGAGAAAGGAGAATCTTATGCATGCTCCATGCTCAATACAGAGCCTAACGCTGGGCTTAGTCTCACAATTGTGAGATCATGACCTGAGCTGAAATCAAGAGTGGGACACTTAACTGACTGAGCCACCCAGTGGCCCCTTAATTTAATTTATTTTAATCATATGGTCAGTAATATTTATTTTTATAATTTATCTTCATGGACATGAAAGATGGATATATTTAAGAGTTTACAGCTTCACCTACAAAATATCACAGCCAAAGAGTTACAAAACAAATAGGCAATATAAATGCAATTTGTGTACTTGCTTGTGTCCTGACTTAGACGTCTTCATGACCTTAGGACCATCAAGTTATACACTCGTTAGTCGTGCTCCCAATAGTCACCACATACTTTTTAAAGCATTACTGATCTATGAAAACAACTTTTTTAATCCATGAAAACAATATAAAGAAAAAGATTTTCATTTACATTTACTATCCCAGCCTTGACTTACCCACATGTGGTTTTATTATTATTAGCCTCATAATCTTGACCTTTCCATCTATATTTTTATCCGCCACATTCGTTATCAAAAAATCGCTACTTAACAAATTACCCCCGGGGCACCTGAGTGGCTCAGTTGGTTGAGTGTCTGACTTTGGCTCAGGTCATGGGTTCGAGCCCCATGTCAGGCTCTGTGCTGAATGCTTGCTCAGAGCCTGGAGACTGTTTCAGATTCTGTGTCTCCTTCTCTATCTGCTCCTCCCCCACTCACACTCTGTCTTACTCTGTCTGTCAAAAATAAATGTAAAAAAAAGTTTTTAAACTTCTAAACTACCCCCAAAATGTAGATGCATATATTAATAAATATTTAGTAACTTACAGTTTCTGTGAGTCAGAAATCTTGGTGCAGCTTAGCCAGGTCCTAAAACTGTCTTTCACAAGGCTGAGGTAAGGTGCTGGCTATCATCTGAAGCCTCAACAAGGGAAGGATCTACTTCTCAGCTCACTCACCCAGCTAATGACAGGATTCAGTCCCTCTTGGGTTATTGCGTGGAGGCCTCCCTCAGTTCCATGCATCTCCCCTCCAATAGGACCTCCTCTCCACAGGGTAGCTCACAACATAACATCTGTCTTCCATGAGAGCAAGTGAATGAAAGAACAAGAGAGAAAGATGGAAGTCAGTCTTTGTGAGACCTAATCTCAGAGCTGATAGCTTATCACTTTTTCTGTATTCTGTTCCAAACACTAAAAGTCACTAGGTTTAGTCCACACTCAATGGAAGAGGATTACACAAGGGCATGAGTACCAGGAGACAGGATCATTAGGGGCCCTGTTAGATGCTGCCTCCACATCCACCAACAGAAATGTGTCAGGCTCATGAAATACAGTTCATGCTCCAATCACAGTCAAGGTCACATATAAAATGTTTAAATATTGGAGCATGTGAGTGGCTTAGTTGGTTGGGCATCCGACTTTGGCTCAGGTTATGATTTCATAGTTCATTAGTTCGAGACCCACATCAGGGTCTGGGCCATCAGGCTCTGTGCTGACAGCCCAGGGCCTGGAGCCGACTTCAGATTCTGTGTCTCCCTCTCTCTCTACCCCTCCCCTGCTCACACTCTGTCTCTTTCTCTCTTAAAAATAAATTAACATTAAAATGTTTAAATATTAAAATAAGAAACTTAATTTTTAAAAAATGTTCAAATACACTAAAGAACAAAGTGAAAATTTCCCTCTAATTTGGATTCACCAATATTTCAAGTGTATGTCTCTGATTATTTATTAGATACTCCAATACCATCTTAATATATTTTAATCAAATCCAATACATTAATAAAAAAGAATCAGCATAGAGCATAAGCATCTTCTTAAAGTAAAATGTTAATAAAAGGATTTCATAGATATGATGATAGCAGTAATTCAGTTTAAGTATGGCTCAGGAACCCTTAGGTTTTTTTCACTATTTTTGCACTATTTTTCAATTCTTCCCTCTAGTCAATTTTAATTCTTCAATTTTAATGAAAATAAATAAGCTTGTTTAATTAGAAATAGCAAAATATTTTGATGATTAAAATGTTTATTTACATTAATTAAAAACACTTGCCTGCTACTCAAAGATGTGGGAAAGTTGCATGGAAAACACAAAATGAGGAGGAACTCAGAGTAATTTAGGACTCAGCCCTTTTAATGTAGCCTTTCTTATAGATAATTCTAAAACTGACTATAGATATTACATATATCTTCTGAAATACTTTAATAATGTCATCTGTGAGCCACACTATTTCTAAGGGAAAATAAATATGTATATGATTGAGCATCACATAGTAAAATTAGGTACACATGTATACACACATCCTTCATACTTGGCCAATTTCTTCATGTATGCAATTCATGAAGCTCTAATCATTCACTTCCTACTTTGATAAATGAAGAAAGTATGAGCAATACTGACCCTTATCTGTGAATTACTCAGGGTTCACCAAAGTGTGACAAATAAACCACAAACCTAATAACCTCACACAACAACTTATTTATTCCTCCCACTGGATGATTTCTGTCACCTCATTCGAACCTCATTCAAACAAGGACAGCTGAATCATAACACTTGATATTGTCACTGTTGGTTACCTTGGATGGAAACTTCTGGCATGATTCTTCTGAAATGGCTGAAGAAACAGAGAGCTCGGACTTTCATCTAACCTAGGGAACAGGTTGCAGAGCTGTCTTGTGCCAGCCTGATAATACCTGTTAGAGTGGCAGTATGGGATTTCCTTGTAACATATCACCTGGTAGAGGGGATGGGCTAGAGAGGAGACCTATAATCTTCATCTAAATGGTAAAGTTGCTTTCACTATAGTTTACTCAAGGGTTTAAAAGAAAACGAAATTTATAGGCTGACTGTGTTTTGAAAGAGGGTAAATTAATATCCTTTTATTTCTATCACATCCTAAAAGATGGAAATCAGAAATTCATGTCATTTAAAAATCAGAAAAATAACTATCTTAGAGAAATTATTCCAAAAAAACCTAACTTTATAGATTTTCTCTTTTTAAAAATTTTTTAATGTTTGTTTATAATTGAGAGAGAGACACACACAACAAGGGGGTAAGGGGCAGAGAGAGATGGAGACAGAATCCAAAGCACACTCCAGGCTCTGAGCTGTCAGCACAAAGCTCAACGCATCCAACAGTGGGGCTCGAACCCATGAGTCATGGAGTTTTGAGATCGTGACCTGAGCCAAAGTTGGACATTTAACCAACTGAGCCACCCAGAACCCTTGTAGCTTTTCTTTTAACAGATCATATCCTAACATGTTGGTTATTAGAATATTCTTCACTATTCATAAAAGGTCATTTTTCTGCCAATTTTATTTACTGGTGAAGGATTAATAACAAATTCTTTGTAGGCCCCGTGGAGTCATGAGTAAATCTTACAAATCTAAACACAGACACACACAAAAAGTTATCACTTTCTGTTTAACAGATACTTGTCCTTACAAAGGCTCTGATAAACATATTCACCTTTTGTGCCTAAAATGTATCTGATCTGGGATCACCAGGGTGGCTCAGTTGATTAAGTGTCCAACTTCGGCTCAGGTCATGATCTCACAATATGTGGGATAGAGTCCTGTGTTGGGCACTGTGCTGACAGCTCAGAGCCTGGAGCCTGTTTCAGATTCTGTGTCTCCCCCCTCTCTGACCCATCCCCCCATCACACTCTATCTCTCTCTGTCTTAAAAATAAACATTTAAACAATTTTTAAAAATTAGTTAAAAATATAAAAAATGTATCTGATCCTTATACTTTAAGCAGATGAAGTAGACAGAGTAAACGACTTCATTTTCTGTAAAGACAAGAGTCAATATTTCAGAACTACTTTTTTGCTCTTGCAATTTTATTGTATCCCTATGGAAAAGTTCATTTAAAAGTTATGTTGCTACATCTTTCAGCCCACTTCTTCCTGTGGTTTCTGAAAAATATGACACACATACCACGGAGGAGCAGAGAGGGTGAAATTCCTTTCTTTCTTTACACATATAGAGTCAACCTTCAGTCTATCAGCAGCCTAGAACCACAGAGCCACAGCTGATCAAAAGCAAACATGTATATAAACAGATACCTATAGGATGTTTGTTATGCAGCATCACCACTGCAAATACAGAAACCAGTACCAAAAATGGGGTGTTGATGGAACAAAAACCTAAACTATAAGGATGGAGGAGGGAGTAAGGATACAGTTATAGGAAACAGAAAAATGACAAACCATACCATTTAATGACAAAACATTTCACAAAATTATCATGCATATTAACTTTCTAACCTGAGATTAGCTTTCATGACAATGTTGTTGTTGCCATTTTTATACCAGTGAGTCAGCCCTTCATGACACCATTTTGTGGCAACCTCATTTCCTGTCTCTTATTTTCATTTTACTAG